AACCAATTGAACTATTTGTTTGACATCGCTCATGTATGAGTATTCGCAGTGGCGGTACACTTCAAAACTCTCATGGCACAGTGGTTGAGAATCACTGGTATACAGCATAATACTATTGTGAGAATATGGAAATTCAGGAGAGAGTCATTTTAATCAAAATAACAAGTTGAAGAAAAGATTAGAAAATTAAGAGAAATTAATATTTTTCAATTTCAACAAAGTTTCTAAAAAAACGAAAAAACATCTGATTTTGAATGGAAGTTGATTTCCTTTCCCAGGCCAACTCATGATGAGTCGAGTTTTTTCACATGTTACTGGAAAGCAAATATAAGGGACATTTTCCCGTCACTCGAGGTAGTCCGTCAAAAAGAGGTTTGCCATACTGAAGAAGAGAACTAGCCATATGACAGAGGCAGTCCGTTGAAGAAAGGTATTTCCATACAAAGAAAGATCTCGTCTTATGAAAGAGTACTACATTTGAAGTATACAAGAGAAGATTTAAAAGAACTCTCCTAAAAAATATAAGAAGAGAACATAAAGAAAAGAGGAAGACCCTCATATAGATACTGAAAGTTACGAAAGACCTGGAGAAGGTAATATATGTTAGATCGATGTGAACTCTCTCATGCGTTAGGTTTAGAGATAATCTTAGGTTAAGAACTACAATTAAGATTAGGTTTAGATTCATAAATTTTGTATAATTTTATATTTTGATCCATTAAATATTTTGATTTGTTATATAAATATGGCGTCTTTAATATTAACGTTAGGTATTCGTGAGTTTAGGGATAACGTGTGTTAATCCGTGTAAAATAAAAGTGATTAACTGGTGTCAGGAATCCTGACGTAAGGAAAAGGTGATTACACAATCATCAAATTTCGCTTTAAATTAACATTCAAACTGTAAGTCCCCCGCTCTCGATTTCCTTGAATTAGGAAAACCATTCTTTTAGACAAACAGAGGGCTATTCTAGAGAATAGTTGCCAATTAAGTAGTACAAGAGTCTTACCACTCCGTATCCACGACTGAGCCTCTCACACTATTTTATGAAATATTAATAGCTAATGCCTGTATAGGAAAAAACAGTTTAAAATAAAATCTGTTAAACACTAAACAGATTTACAGCATATAATCAATCCTGGTTTTCTGACGATGCTTTGTATGATAATTTTCAGTAGTCTTTAACTATTAAAAACATAGATAAAAAAATTAGAAGACTATGCTCCAAAAACATGTTATCTATTTTTTTTGTATAATTCTTTGATGCTTGCTATCACTTTTTTGTTTCATTAGAAAGGTTTTCTTCTGTTATAATATCTCTGACCACCAAAGAACAATAATTTGTCATCTTCCAAAACTTTTTAGTGTTTGTGATTTTTTATAAAATAAATGCATTATTTTTGTAATAACTATCAATACATTTCATTATTTAGTTACAATTAATGACTTATTTTAAAAATTATTATTATAGATGAAAAGTCTGATTTCATCCATGGAGAAAACAAAATTAACTTGTCTGGTGGTTAATATCTCAAAAGTTATACTAAACTCTAAAAGAAATGTGCTGTTTTCAGGTAAATTTATACAGCAAATTTTCTTTTATCTTATACTTTAGAACAAAATTATTTAGAACTGTTATGTAGAGAAATCAGTCACACTTCAACTCACATTCAGCTAACATTTAAATTACACTAATGGTTCTGGAAATCTAGGGGAACCAAAACAATAGTCTGGGGTCCACAAGTAAAAAGTTTCACATTTTCAACAGCTATCTTACTTGTAATGCAAATCCATCTTAATGTGTACCAGTGCCTCCTATCCCATCATTTTTAGAGCAACTGCTCTGATGCTGTACTTATTATCTTTCAATATTGTATTGTGATAAAACAATTCAACATAGTGTTGCACTGATGATACCAAACATGACCAAAAAACTTAACTGTACTTGCACTAACTTGTTGGCTTGTATTACTTTAACATTGTTATTTTTTTAAATGTGTACATTTGTAATATTGATGTATGAATAGTTATTTGATTTACCTTTTACACAGTCATTTCCAAAACTGTATTTTCCACATACTGTAATTCTTTCCTGTCTTTATTTTCCATGTAATTTAGAATTACATTTAATAATTCTTTGTGTTTAGAACTATCAATTAATTAGAAACATTTTAGGATGTTTACAAACTCTTAATTTTTCCCACAATTTCTAACAGTGTATAAATTGCACTATCAAAAATCACAGTCCAGTTTTTGGCTGTACCAGTATAATTGCATCAGGATAACAATGTAATTAAAAATGAGTACAGTCAGCTGAACATGAAAAATTTATCAAGTGCAACATGACTATATCAATCCAAAGAAAAGCAGAAAACACTAACAGTAAGCTTGCAACATTAGGGTTAAGGTAGTATGGATTTACAGTGACTTCAGTTGAATTGCTTTATATGTTTGCCTGTTACATCATAAAAGTTCTGTTGAAAATCTGAGTTAAATTTAATAGCTTTGTTTGTTATTTTTATATAATTTTTATTAATATTTTAGTAGTATTTAAGTTGTATTTATTATACCAGAAAATGGATCATTAGGTAAAGATTAGTATATCAGTAAAACATAAAAGCAAAAATAATTCAGTCATGTGATGATGATAGTGTCTCTTGTTTAACTTCAAAAATAATAAAGACACTAATGCAAAAATACATAAGTACTCTGCAAAATACTTAACAATACAAGTACTTGTAAATTCAAATGTTAAGGTTGAGAAAACTTTAGTGTCAAAAGTTAGGACATATTATGAAATGAAACCAGAAAACTTTGTCACCTGGACACAAAGCATAAACAATTTACTAATAAATTAATTGAATTTTTCAAATGAAATACAAGCAAATGGTAAACTTATAAAAAATAAAAACACAAAAACCTTACCCAATTGCAGAAAATTTAATTCTACCTGCTTAAATGATAATTATTTGAATGATGGAAGATAGACATGAAAGATTTAAATTTAATTTCATTATCAGACTATTAACTTTGTAATCAAATCAAAGAGATGCCTAACAATATTGAAAATAACTAATTGAATACATATGAAAGAGTAAATATTAAAAAAATGGTTATTTCTAACAATGCTAATTTACTTGTGTTTATTTGATATAAATATAACAGTAAAATTCATAGACATTTTTATTTTATAAACCTCTTCAAATTTGTTTTATTTCACAAACACTTTTCATTTATTTAAATGATTTAAATAATCTCAATGATTTAAGTCATTAGCTCAAGCATCATCCATACTAATACCAACATTTTGGCCAATGATCAAAATGTTGGTGTAAGTATGAATGATGCTTGAGCTAATGACTGGAACAGTTGAGTAGGATGGTCAGTTTCACTAAAAGTGAAGCACCATGTGCAATATGGACACATGGTTCTTCCATGCTGTCAGAAAAATGTCAAAAGTTAATAAAAATATTTGACAAAGCTATATCTATTCTAAATTTTATTAAGGCTTGACAAGTAAATAGCTAATTTTTAAAGTTTTCTGCAATGAAACTGGAAGCAATCATAAATAACTACAGTAGAGCATCGATTATCCGACTCAATTGGGGACTGGGGTTGGTCGGATAACTGAAAAAACGGATAACCGAAAAATATGAAAAAATACATTATTAGTATTGTATATTAGTATATCTCATGTAATTAGTATATCGCTATTAATTAACCTACTTCACGTTAAATTTTCATCAATGTTAAGCCTAACAAAAATTTTTTTAAAATAATAATCGTTGCTATTGTATCGTTAAAAATTAAAAAATTAAGCCTCGTTTAAATACTGGCTCCCTTTCATGGTTTAGCCATGTTGCCAGCTAAAACACGTAAAAATACTATTAAAGTAGCCAAGACATAGCCAAATATTGTAGTGCCACATCACTAGCGAACATTTGAATTTGCCGACTAGAACGGTCTGTTAACTGATGTGACGGTTAATCGGGGGTCGGATAATCGATGCTCTACTGTATTACACACTAAATTTTATTGGTTGTCTTGTGAAAATGTCTTAAATCACATTTTCACAATCATTTTCAAAACAATGATTGTAGAAATTTTTGAAGTTGAAAATAAAAGAAAAGACACAATCAAAAAATTAGATTTGTGGGAAAATCATCATAAAAATAGTATTTTTGAATCATTTCCAACCCTACTTGAGTATACAAAGCTCTGTAGAAAAGTTCATGATAATATACTTAAAAGTTTTACTGTACACTTGAAAAATTTTAAATAAACCTTTAAAAATAATCAGAAAATAAAAAAATGTGACAATTTCTAAACAGGATAAACTTAGAGCTATCATGTAATAGTTTCTTATGATTTGTTTTCAAACCAGTCTCCCTGATTTTTGATTATTAGTAAAAAATATTTATTCATATTTAATAGAAAAAGCCCTCTTATTTCCCTTCTGTACAACTTATTTTTGAACTTCCATGATGCTAGCATTGTGAAACTTGTGGCAAAGAATATTCATATGTACCAATATAATTATTTTTTAAGATGATAGACTTTAGTGTTGTGAAATTGCTAAATTAAGATTATTTTAAAATTTATTTTTATTTATAAAAATAATTTGTTTTTTCAAGATAGAATGTTAAATTGTTGTTATTGTATATCCTTAAGACTTGCTCCTTGATCCATCTGAAATGACAGGTGTTAGACTATTGCTTTAAATTTTTTTAAAGTTGCATTTTAAGATCTGATTTTCTCCTGAAGATGAACTGAGTTGCTTGAAAATGCTTGGAGTTTGTTTTAATTTTGGTATGTTTATTGACTCCAATAAAGCAGAATATTTTTCAGTAATATTAAATTCATGTTATTCATGTTTTCAACATTTCAACTATTCAAAGAAGTATAAACTATTTTTATACATAAAAAAAAAAAAACAACTAAATATTGAATATAAAATATATTATTCATAGTCTTATGTACATAAAAATAATTAAATTACCTGTGAAGCACATGTCTGTCATGACAATAAGCAAGGCCTCGCAATAGTTGGAACAGAAAAAGCTATGTAAATAAAAAATTTTTTTAATAAAAAAAATTAATAAAGCTAATTTAAAAGTTTTGTTGTTTAAAAATTTAAATTAAAAATTAAAGCAATTTAATATAATGCATGCTTTTACTTTAATTTACACATATATAACTAATAAAACAACAAACAAAAAAAAAAAATATAAATAAATAAAAGCAAGCATTGGAAATTACAAACTTATACTAAGATATTAATTTTTAGAAAAAAATCATATTTTCTTAAATGTCTGAAATATTTAAATAATGCTGGATTAAATTGTGCTATATTACTTATCATTTGTCTTTAATATAACTATTGGGTTTAAAATGTTTAAATATATTTAAATAATGGTATGAAACATTACACTTCATTCACTAATTATCGTCATTAAAACTTGTCTGAGAGGAAAAAAATCAAGAATTAATAAGACAATTTTTTTGACCTTTACAAAAAAGTAAAGGTAAAAAATTATTGTAGTATAAAAAATTTAATCATAAATAATTTACATTATTTCTCAATATAATATTTACATTTCTTAACAGAATTTTATATTATTTAATTAAATAAAAAAATATCTAAACATGTAAATTGTTAAACTTTTCATTTATTCTATTCATTAACCTGATCACATGTAGTATTTTTTAAAATAGGATCATATACATAAGGTGATTTTTCCATCAATATCTTATGCATAATTATGTTGCACATAACTGCCATTCCTTAAATTTGATAATTCTGAAAACTCCTGTAATGTGTCTTCTCTGCATGTGTAAAATTTCAATATCATACATTGTCCTTGACTGGGCTCTCATAGAGAACCCTCTAAACTTTGTTTAGTGTGGGCTAATGAGAAATAAGTTCAACTGAAAATAAATGATGAAATGGTTGGGGTGTTTCTCAGAAGGACCCGATATGATTTTTCTATATTTTTCAGGCGCAAAATAGAACTGTAAAAGCATTTAAATTATTGAAGGTCATAGCATTCCAGGCTACCTTAGAGAGACAAGCATTCAAGGTTGTAATAAGTTGTAGACCTCCATGTCATTACATAATATACAGCTGACAAATATCTATGTCATGATCAGGGAATGGAGAGTCAGCAGAGAAATACACAACTCTCAATTCTGTGTTTTTCAAAATTGACTTCCGTAAAATATTCAACTCCTTGACTCATGACTCTGACTCTTCATCCCTGGTCGTGACAACCTCTTGAAAAAATGACATACAATATAGACAGTAGAAAACAAATTAAAATTAGGTCAAGGCATGGATAGATGAATATTAAGGTATAGAAAAAATATGGAAGAACAGAGAAATAAGCATTGGGACCAAATGAAAAATTACAGAAACTTGCATACAGTCGACCCCCCTATAAGATATAGATACGTTCCAATTTATTAGGAATCCGATTTCTTACAAGTCATTCCAATCACAGCCCGACACGTGTCAAGTTTACGGACTACGGCTGATTGAAAGGTTTTCTTCCATAAAATTAATTGATTCTACACTAATCCGACTCAACATTTCCAAAATACGTATATTTTTTCGTAGTTTTATAGGAATCGTAATTATAGGGACCTAAATTATAGGGGGGTCGACTGTATTTTCTGGAGTTTTATATGGGTTTGAGGCTTAAATGATTATCAAACACATCACCAGTAGACTGCTAGCATTTGAAAGAAAAGGAATTGCTACAGAAATATCCCCAGAATAGGATGGAAAGCCAATATGAGACACTGAGATGTATAATTGTATTAAGCCCAAGAAGACAATACTTCAAAAGTGATAGACGGAAAACTTCAATTGTTTGTGCACACCTACTGAATAAATACAATAGGAATGTAGACTTTAGTGTTTGGAATGATGAAAAGCAAAATACAAACAAGGTAGACCATACAAAGAATAGGTGGATGACATAAAAGACTAGTGTCATGGTGAACTTCATGAGGTAGCCCACACTGCTTATGATAGAGAGAAGTGGAATGTTGTGATTGAAAGAGTATCAGACTTCAATGGGACCTAATCCCAAAATGTGCAATGATAACAATGAAGATATTAAAAAAGAAAAAAAGCTTAAAAGTGATACCATGTAAACCTTTTATATTCTTAACTTTTAATCTGAAATAGCCATGGCTGTCTATTTTATCCAATTTTTTTGGTTATCTGAGGCAGCATTGGTTCACATTACTGCAGATAATTGGGATTCTACCATAGTTACATTATATTTCATTTGATGTTTATTAGTATGTTTAAGTTAAAGTTTAGAGTTAATATAAATATTTTTATCTTTATAACAATGTCTTATTTTTGACTTTGATCACAACAATGACAAAAACAATTGTGATTTTGTTCAGTTAACATTAAGAAAAATTATGCCTACTCCATTATTGATAATGTCAACTGCTATTATTCTGTAAAACACATTTGTTTGAAATTGGCATTCATAGAAATTAATCAAATAATTCTCACTTCAATAAACTAATTATATATTAAAATCTGTTCCATAATTCTGTTTAAGATTTCATTTACTTTCAATATGATTTTATATAAATTGAATAAATGAGTTTCAGATTAATCATTCCTATTTTAAACTATAATCTATCCTTAATTTTTACTAATCAAGTCTGAATACTAAAGGTAAAGCTTTTTTGGCCTTTTAACACTTTTATCTAAGTATTAATAAATTCACAAACATTTTATATTCATTAACATACTGAGTATAAAAATGAAATCAGTATTCATTAGGAACATGAAATAAAATATAATTCCATATTTTAACATGTAAAAAATTTCAAACCTTTATATTTTTTGGATGGAGTCCACCTGGATGTTGTCCCAAATATTGTCCCAAATCTGTATGCTAAAATTTATATAATTATTAACAAATTATATAAAATGATATAAAATAAAATATTAGATTTCTATATTAAATATAAATTAATTTAAATTATATTGTAAAAATTATAATAAGTATGCTAATAAAATAACTTAGAAGCTACTTATGTTTGCTGTGGTTCTGTAGTTCAAATAATTTTGATATCATTTATAAATCAAGAATATAATAAAATTAATACTAATAAATATTCAGTTTTTATATAATCTTTTGATATTTTTAATACAATTTACACAAACAGTATTATCTTTATAATTAATTATCCATTAGAAATAAATAAATAAATTTAGAATATACTGGAAGAAAAGACTGATCTAGAGTGAGACTTAATCTTAGTGCTTATCGCACAGATGGTATCATTTGTTTATTACTATAAGTCAAATTTGAATTAACTATAATTTTTATCGCAATATTTTAATACTTTACATAATAAATATTTAGTTTAATTAAAAATTTACTATTCTTAATTAATATACTAATATGTTTTTATAATGTTTTAAGTCCTTTCATATTTGATTAGATTATTAATTTATTAATATAACAAGTCAAGAAAGTCTTGTTTATATGTCAGTTTTGTGGCAAACTGTCAAATTTAAGCCAAATAAGTAGGCATTTACTTTTCCTTGAATAAGTGAATGACCATTACAGAAGAGAGAAGACATGAGGTCAGATTTTTTTTCTTTTTAAAATTAAATTTAACTACTCACACTAGTTTACAATTCTGTAGATGAGCACGATTTTATGGTTGTAATTACATTATTGATCAAAAGAGAGATTTGGGAGCCATCTATATCATAAGTACTCAAGTTTGCCATTAGTTCAAAGAGTTTTTATTATTTTCCTTTCATAAACTGATTTGTGACACCATTTTTTACCATTGAGATGCTTTGTTTTATTTGTTCCTGACAATGTACTGTTTATGCTTAAAGTACATCACACAAACATTTTATTTGTTAAAAATTATTCCCTTTTAATTATTTGTTTGTTGTTTTCACATGTTATATTTGTTACATTGTAAAGTTATAATTTAATAGTGTTTGTTGTTATATTTCTTTTTATGACCAAGGCCATTTTACTCTAAAAAACATCAGATTCTATGTGAAAATGAACAAAATATTTCAATGCATGTATACAAAGTTATAAATATAAACAATATTTTATTTACAGAGCATTTAAATATTTTTTTTTAATTAATTTATAAGTAAAAGATTCTGTAATAAAACTAACCAAATTAAATGAAATATTAATTTTAAAATAAATTTTTAGACAATTTTCCCCATTTCGATTCTAGAGTACTTAAAATTTTAATTCTCCTTAGGTTTGCTAATGTATAAAATAAGAAATGAATTTAATTAAAATATAAAATCTATTAATTATCTTATTTAATAAAGTTTTAGTTAAATTAGATAGACAATGAATGAAATAATTTCATCAATTTTAAATATAATAATAAATATTTAATAATTTTTTATATATTAGCTTTATATAATTAATGTAATAGCTACTTCAAATAATTAAAAATAAATGAAATTATAAATTGTTTAAATATCAAACAGTGAATAATTTTATGTAAAGCATTGATAACATGAATTATCAGAAGGTAATTCAGATAATTAAACTTAATAATTGCTTTCATTTAATTTATTAAATATCAATGGAAACTTTATTATTGATTACTACTTTCTTTAAAAATTTTTGAACAGTATACAATTACTGAAAATTGCACAACTTTAATTTCATGACCATCTGTTCCTTATAACAAAATTCAGATTTCAATTTTATCAAATATTAATCCAGTATAAACAAATGCAATAAATTTTGGAATTAAAAACATATAAGAAATGAAAGATTTCTCATATTAGCACAAAAAATTTAAATAAAGTTTTTTGAAGTTATTATTATTCAAAGTATTGAAATATTTTTTATAGTATTTTAAATTATTTTAGTATTTCTCTTTCTTTTAAAATAAATAATTACTTTATTCTAATCATAATTGAAGCTTAATAATATACTAATAAAAAATAGAAAAAAAACAATCTAGACAAACATAGATGAATAATATATTGATTAATTAATTATCATATATTACAAGGAAAGATAATTTAACTCCAAAAATCAACAAATGCTTTAAGATTGATTATATCAAATTTTATTCGCTTTATTCCTAATATTTTGTTTTATTAATATCAAATAATATAATTTCCTGTGTATAATTCACAGAGCTAAGTTTTTGTTAACAAAAAATTTATTGTCATAATTTGCAAAAGTTTGCATCACTTTTTGCATAATTGTTTTCTTGGTGTATCAGCAATGAAACAATGTAATTTGCAAGGACATTTAATAATTAAAAAGTAATCACAAATGTTGGAAATAAATTGAACAATTCTATTTAAAGTACTTTAAAATTCAGAATTACAAAATAGTCAGTCCACAATACACAACTTCCCAATTTATGAAAGCTGAAACTAGTAAAAAAAAAAACACATTAAAAATGATTTTCAAATACAATCAATTGCCTTCACCAGCAGACAGTATAACAAATGTTAACTATAATACCATTGTAAGAACGCCAATTGGGGGGGAGATTTTTATTTCCTACCGTCAAAATGGTCTAAGGCAGCGCTGTCCAACTGGCGGCCCGCCAAATAATTTTTACGGCCCGCGAGTACATTTTACTATGAATAAATTTATGTTACTAAATTATTATTATTAATATTACAATTATTTTACTACCGTGTTTCCCCGAAAATAAGAGTGTCTTATATTAATTTTTGCTCTGAAAAATGCGCTAGGTCTTATTTTCAGGGAATGTCTTATTTTTTCCAGGAAGAAGAATTCACATTTATTATTGAACAAAAAAATTCCCAAGTCGAACTTAGACGAGAGTGACGTATATCCGGTGTGTCGAACTGTCGTCTTTTTATAGCGTCAACACCGGACTCGCTGACCAATTAGTGCTTACTGAACCGTAGCACTATGCAAATGTCATGTGGTTTATCAACCTTCTTGGCCCCCGAAATGTTTGGTGAAGAAAATATGGCCCGCGGGCTATGATAAGTTGGACAGCGCTGGTCTAAGGTCTACGCGTATGTGGGTGGCGGTTTTATGAGGCAGCAAAAGACAAGTCTTTTACAGAGGCAAACTGTTTATTCCGGACGATAATGCTTACATAAATTTTTCCATTGGAAAGGTTCTCAGATAGATGCAATCTGGTCCTGTGTTGTAGGAATTTTCGACAGCGATCTGGTCTTGCGTCGTAGGAATTTTCAGCGGCGATCTGGTCCAGTGTTGTAGGGGCCCCTGGACAATGTTGAGCAAAAAGTTCGAAGTCTCGAAAGTCGATGCACAAAAGATGAAAGGATGCACGAAAAAAAAATGGAGATACACGAACACAACAGAAGTCTAGTGGAAGTCTTAGTGGAAGCTTAGTGGAAGTCTCGTTGTCCTTGAAATTGGTGCTTTTATAGGTTTTTCGAGATCCGCTTCTTGCTAATTGGATAGACCTTACATCACCGTTTTCTAATTGGTCTTCCACCTGTCTCCAGGTGTAAATGGAGCTTCGTAAAGTTCGCAAGAAAGGTCAGCTGGAGATGGTTTATCTGACACCATCTTTTCAACTCTGATCGCATTTAATTGTTGACTATGACACCTACGCTCATTTTGATATTTTTTCTAGTTTCATTTTACTTTCCAAACTGCACCTTAACTTTTAATATTTTAAATTTTCTTCTTTTTATATCTAAAATTTTGTTTTTCCCATTATTGTTTATGAGCGTTTATGTCAAAGTCAAGTATTGCCGATTCAATACTTATATAATTTGCTTTCTTGATGATTGAACTTAAACTTTTTTTTTTTATATCTTTCTTTAGGGGGGCTAATTCCGGGGCCTCACACCATAATGGGTAATAAATACACTGTATTCAACAATAACTTTTAAGTTTAACTATAATTTGAATTGACCACAAGTCCTCAAAATTAAAAATAAAACAAACCTTCTGCAAAATTGTTCTTTCTGGGATTATCATTATAATCTCAAATTTATTATAAAGTTAAATTTAAAATAAATTAAATATATCAAAAATAATAAAAACAAAAGCAATTCTACACAAAAAATCAATTCTTGCTCAATGATTTTTGTTGGCTTTGAAAACAGTTGACTACTTAAATGTGACCATAAATTTTGTTACAGTAGATAGAACCACCTTTCAAACTATCCCAACTATTTTTAATTTCTAGTTCTTTTGTTCTTAAACAATCATCTTTAAATTTTGAAAAATCAAACAAAAATTATACTTAAATACATATTGTTCCATAAAGTTAAAAAAATGCTTACAAATAAAAACTAACTATTTTTTATAACTAGAAATGGTTTTAAATATGTATCCCATAAGTCATAATTTCTCATAAATGTTGTATTAATAATAAATTATCATACTTAAATTGTTCCTCTATAACAACTTTCTGAGTCTGTTCCATTGACAGACTTCCAAATTTCTCTGCCTCAGAAGTGACTTTTGTCACAACATCCTAACCCCTTATCAGAATCATATGCTATTAATTGTTATTATCTAAGTTAAATCATTTTAAGCTAAGCTTAAAAATATTTCAAACTAAGATCAGCTTGAATATGTTTATTGAAGGATTGACAGACATATAAACAACACTATATTCCATTCACAAGTAGATGTGGATAGTCCCTTGTCTCCTTTTGTTTTCTTACTGTTTGTGTCAGGTTGATGAAAATGATAACCATGTTATATCATATCAAGAATACTTAATGTAACAAAGTAAACTGATGTTAAAACCATTTTTTAATGTTGTAGAAAAAAATGGTCAAATTATATGAATTAGCTACAATTAGCGTAAATACTGTAGATAAATTGATTTTATTTTATCATTAATTGTAGTTGTTATATATCAAAAGAAAAAGCAAGAAAAATTTAATAATGCATTATATTTATTTTTTAAAACACTACAGATTATAGGCAGAAAATTATAGTAATCATTACATTCAATTTTATTAATTCAGGTTACATCAAAACATATATATTTAAAAAAAATCTACAAATAAGTAACTATTGTATACTGAACCATTTTATTTCATTTTATAACTACTTTAAATATTTTTGGAATTACAGTGGTACCTCAGGATATGAAATTAATCCATTCCGAAACTGAGATCATATCATGAAAATGTCGTAAGGTGAATCATTTTTCCCCATACGATTACATGTAAAACCAAATAATTCGTTCCAACACGAAAANTTTCAACTCTGATCGCATTTAATTGTTGACTATGACACCTACGCTCATTTTGATATTTTTTCTAGTTTCATTTTACTTTCCAAACTGCACCTTAACTTTTAATATTTTAAATTTTCTTCTTTTTATATCTAAAATTTTGTTTTTCCCATTATTGTTTATGAGCGTTTATGTCAAAGTCAAGTATTGCCGATTCAATACTTATATAATTTGCTTTCTTGATGATTGAACTTAAACTTTTTTTTTTTATATCTTTCTTTAGGGGGGCTAATTCCGGGGCCTCACACCATAATGGGTAATAAATACACTGTATTCAACAATAACTTTTAAGTTTAACTATAATTTGAATTGACCACAAGTCCTCAAAATTAAAAATAAAACAAACCTTCTGCAAAATTGTTCTTTCTGGGATTATCATTATAATCTCAAATTTATTATAAAGTTAAATTTAAAATAAATTAAATATATCAAAAATAATAAAAACAAAAGCAATTCTACACAAAAAATCAATTCTTGCTCAATGATTTTTGTTGGCTTTGAAAACAGTTGACTACTTAAATGTGACCATAAATTTTGTTACAGTAGATAGAACCACCTTTCAAACTATCCCAACTATTTTTAATTTCTAGTTCTTTTGTTCTTAAACAATCATCTTTAAATTTTGAAAAATCAAACAAAAATTATACTTAAATACATATTGTTCCATAAAGTTAAAAAAATGCTTACAAATAAAAACTAACTATTTTTTATAACTAGAAATGGTTTTAAATATGTATCCCATAAGTCATAATTTCTCATAAATGTTGTATTAATAATAAATTATCATACTTAAATTGTTCCTCTATAACAACTTTCTGAGTCTGTTCCATTGACAGACTTCCAAATTTCTCTGCCTCAGAAGTGACTTTTGTCACAACATCCTAACCCCTTATCAGAATCATATGCTATTAATTGTTATTATCTAAGTTAAATCATTTTAAGCTAAGCTTAAAAATATTTCAAACTAAGATCAGCTTGAATATGTTTATTGAAGGATTGACAGACATATAAACAACACTATATTCCATTCACAAGTAGATGTGGATAGTCCCTTGTCTCCTTTTGTTTTCTTACTGTTTGTGTCAGGTTGATGAAAATGATAACCATGTTATATCATATCAAGAATACTTAATGTAACAAAGTAAACTGATGTTAAAACCATTTTTTAATGTTGTAGAAAAAAATGGTCAAATTATATGAATTAGCTACAATTAGCGTAAATACTGTAGATAAATTGATTTTATTTTATCATTAATTGTAGTTGTTATATATCAAAAGAAAAAGCAAGAAAAATTTAATAATGCATTATATTTATTTTTTAAAACACTACAGATTATAGGCAGAAAATTATAGTAATCATTACATTCAATTTTATTAATTCAGGTTACATCAAAACATATATATTTAAAAAAAATCTACAAATAAGTAACTATTGTATACTGAACCATTTTATTTCATTTTATAACTACTTTAAATATTTTTGGAATTACAGTGGTACCTCAGGATATGAAATTAATCCATTCCGAAACTGAGATCATATCATGAAAATGTCGTAAGGTGAATCATTTTTTTTCATACGATTACATGTAAAACCAAATAATTCGTTCCAACACGAAAAACACACTCAAATTAAAGCTAAGTTGTACATTAAAAAATAACTATAGCAAGGAAAACACTGAAAAATGCATTTTGTAGTTGTAAATGTATAAATAACCATAATAGAATAATAATTGATTTTAAAAAATGTAGCTATATTTGCACTTTACCTTTGAGGATAGACGACGGTGGAGGTGTAAACTGGTGGCAGAAGAGTGGGAGAAGGGAAATGATAGTAAAACTTAACTTACATAATATAATGTAACAATAACTTAGAAAAATTTAAAAAATTAGTGTTGTTTTATATATATTTTTTTAAATTTTTATTCACTGCTTTTTGCTTTCTTTCCTTCACTTTCACCAGCACTTTCACTAGATAGAAGTCGCTTGGTAAAATATCTATCCAAAGAGGTTTGGCTTTGCTTACTTTTTAAAATGTTTCTAAAATGACTTAGGCAAATGTCATTACTTTGATCAGCAATACAGTCAGTGTGAACCTTTTTGGGATGTTTCTTTTCAATAAAATCAGTCACTTTCTGATAATACCTCAAAATTTCCTTTATTGAGTGATATCCTTCCACGACGAAGCAAACACGCGGACTGAGACCAATGAACAGAAGTGAATAAAAAATGGCACTGCAAACAAATGTAACGTCGTATGGTGAGTTTTTGTTCATACTGTGGTGTAAAATTATGTTCAAATTTCATGTTGTATCCTGAAAATTTCATATGCTGGGGCATTTGTATCCTAAGGTACCACTGTAGTAAATTCATCCAGAGGACTTTTAGAATTAAATTAATTTTTTAATTCATTGTAAAATTTCTAAATGTTTAAAATAAAGTAATAAATTACTTTTATTTTCTAAACTGTCTAGATTATTTTTTAACAAAAATAGTTAAGGAGTTATGACACAAGAAATGATTGTATTGAAGAACTTTTCATTTTTGAAATCAGAATAAAAATTTCTTCTAACTTTAAAATAAAAAGCATTTCAAACCTAACATATTATATTAAAAAATTATAGCAAATAATTTTTAAAATAAAATATTAGTAAATATTTAATGAATTTTATCTAATTCTAAAAATTAGATTTTCAATTATCAAAACCATTAAGATGAACAATTTGATATAATCAAATATCTCTTCTTCATTAAAAAACTGAAAAGAACCATCAAAATGCAGAAATTTCATCCCAGAAACAAATTTAATTTCATGCTTTATGAAAAGATATTGAAATTAGATAAAGAGCTAAAATATTGTTATTTTAAAGCTCACAACTGCTTAAAAATTTATATTTATTTATTTTTGCATGCATTAGATAAAAATAATATTTATTTCAGTTTTACCTAATTTGCTAAAAGTTTATTTAGTAACAAGTTTATAAAATTATTAAATATTTAATAACACTACATATTTGGTGTTTTCTAATTAAATGGTTATGTTATCTCACACAATCAATTATATTTTAATTTTGAACAAGTTTTATGTTAAAAAGTTTATAAAATAAAATATTCTCATGCAGAAATTTATAAATTTTAAGAAGTTTATAATAAAAAAAATTAAATTATAATAGTATACAAGTTACTTTAACATCTATTTCATATTTAATAAAGTTTTTTCAATATAAAAATTACAACATGAAATTTTCATCAGAGAGAACTAAACTTTAATCAAATAGAAAAGAAATATTTATAAAATATAAATTATTATTCAATTTCTCGAAAATTGAACTTGTAATGCTACTACTCAGAACTTTAAAATGCAGTACAAATTTAATTCTCAAACATCTTTACTTATCATTTTAACTCTTTAATTGGCCAAAAATCAGCTTAAACAACCTTTTTTAGGACAGAAAGAAACAAATTTAAATTTAAAAATAATTTACTTTCGTTCTTGCTTTTAAATTGAAATTTGTTTCTTTGTCCTGTAGAAGGTTGTTTAAGACAACAGAAAATATTTGAGAATTAAAACTGTACTGCATTTTAAAGGCCTGAGTAGTAGTAAATTATTATTCAAATATCATTAAAACAGTGTGTAGGGGAAATTAAGTTATTGTTTAATAATAATTTTCTTACACATTTTTAGTGATATAAAGTATTTCAACTTACAAGATTATTATTGTATAAATGAATAAAATTGCTGAAAATATCAAAAAATAAATATCGGTCGACTTTAAAATTATCTGTCAATTTATTCATGTAAATCTGTGACGAGCAAACCATTCTGGATGTGGGCTGCGAGTGAAATTTGTAGGTTTCCGAGAGACTAAATACATGTTTTCTTATGGAGTTTCAGACTTTAAGCCTTTTGAGTACTAACATATTCTATAATTGTCAGTACACTAGGTACTGAAGTAATACATGCTAATGATATGCAAATTAATAACTAGTAAACTAGTNACTGCCAAACGATCGCCTAAATATCGGGCTATTATATGGCTAATTAAATGATTAGAATAAAATAATTTGTCATTAGAGGTAGGCGTTAGGCGCCATCTCTTAAGTAAATTAATAATTAATGAGAGATGGCGCCTTACGCCTACCTCTAATGACAAATTACTTTATTCTAATCATTTAATTAGCCATATAATAGCCCGATATTTAGGCGATCGTTTGGCAGTTTAATAGATATACTATTCGGGCTTTGAATGTTGTTATTTATATATATATATAGCAAGCATTTTCATTTTTAATAAGAGTAAAATATTTATTAAGCATAATGGAACGCGGTTATTTTTTAATAAAGCATTAATAACAAATTATAAATTATCATACTTATAAAACAGAAAAGTTATGATTTATATATTATTGTTAAAAGTCAATAAAAACTTACCACAAATTCAAATACAAAAGTTAATGTTTCTCTAGTATGAATTATGTCATGTAAAGTGATGATGTTGGCATGTTTCAATCCTCTCAACAGTGAAGCTAAACAGAAACAATTTTTTATATATTTACATATATTAGAGATAAAAATTAAATTATTATGTAATATGATTAATAATTTGAACACATAATCCACAAATACAAAAATTATTTTTCATGATTAAAATCTAAGAAATTAGGAATCAAAATGATTTTTGTTTATCTTATGATTTTGAATCTTTTCATTTATCTTTTTTTAAAAGAAAAAAAACAAAGATGAATCAAAATCTGATATCAGTAATTTCATTTTTATGACATATATTGTAATCATCATTAATTTTGTAAATTTCAGTACTATCACAAAACAAACCCCTTGCAGTTAAGTTTGGTCAACAGGTTTGTTTCATGTAATATTAACTTCTCATATGTGCATAAAATTTTTTTCCCTAACCATTGTTTTCTCTTTTTATTTGTCCTTTATCCTATTAACCCTATGGTAAAGTTCAGTCAAAGGGTTTATTTTGTGATAATATTGAACTTTACAGTTTTGACATTAAGTTTACTAGTTTTAAATTTTATTTATATTTTAAATTTGTTAATACTTCTCTTATTTATTACAATAAAATTTGTCTAAAATGAATCTCTACAAAATGAAAAAGTGCCTAAACAAAAATTCTCAAAACAGAACAATTTACTATGTAACATACTATTATAAGCTGGAAATCTGCCTAATACAAAATGAAAGCCTTTTAGCAAATCAATTGCATAATATAACCTGAGTAAAGTGAAATGTTTCAGCATAACAGCAGCTAACTTGTAGGCATGGGACATGATTATTTCTCTGTGACAAGAATTATATCTATCTTCATATTTTGCTTTGTAAAACATTTACTTTAATTGTCTGAAAAGGTAGCTGTAATAATATAATACTGTTGTTTCTCTCCAATCTTCTGTAATTATAAAAGTTAATTTGTTCTCCAGGCATAATGAATACAGTAGAGCATCGATTATCCAACTCAATTGGGGACTGGGGTTGATCGGATAACTGAAAAACGGATAACTAAAAAACATGAAAAAATACATTATTAATATAGTATATTAGTATATCCCATGTAATTAGTATATTGCTATTAACCTACTTCTCATTTAATTTTCATCGATGTTAAGCCTAACAAAAAATTTTTAAAATAATAATCATCGCTATTGTGTCGTTAAAAATTAGAAAATTAAGCCTCGTTCAAATAATGGCTCCTTTTCATGGTTGAGCCAGTGTTGCCAGCTAAAACACGTAAAAATAATATTAAAGTAGCCAAGACATAGCCAAATATTGTAGCGCCACATCACTAGCAGACATTTGAATTTGCCGACTAGAACATGGTTAACTGATGTGACGGTTGATCGGGGGTCGGATAATCGATGGTCTACTTAAAAACTAGTATTTTTTGGAGAAAAAATATCATATACTAAAAATCTAAAAATGTAGTTACTAAAAAATAATTTGTTGTGTCTCATTTTTGTAAATATATGTTATTGTGCAATTAATGTAAAACATTTTAGGAAAACCATTTTCCTTCTCTCTCTATATCAGATAGAGAAAAAAGCAACTAGCTCTAAAATTTTTAGAAATAATCAAAATTCATTATTGTATTACTGATATGAGATACAACAAAATTAATTTCAAGAGTAATTAGATTATTTATTATTATTATTTATAAATAAAAGCAATTTTTAAATAAAAATTGAAAAGTTCTATGTTAGTCTACCTTGACAATAGTTAATTTAATTAATTTAATGAATTGAATGTAGCCTAGAAAACTACACTAAAACTACTTAACCCACCTCCCTCTACCACTACTCTCTTCAACCATTAACATTTTTATTTATTTATTACCAAGTCCAGCTATAATTGATAGAATTAATGTGAGAAGTCTTCGTTTTAAGGCCATTTAAAAAAACAAAAAATACTAAATTTTAAGTTAACTAGGAATTTTACGCTAAATGCAAACAAAAACTTGAGTGTAACAAAAAAAATTGACAAGATGAATTTTTTTGGTATTTTTTTCGTTTTTACCAAGTCGAAATCTGTAAGAAAATGTATAAAAATCCTATACAGTTTTTTAATTTGCAGACCTATGTTATGGTTCTCTGTTGTTCATAAACCAAATTTATGATTAAAAATCAACAATGATATGATTAGAGTTCAGCAAAGCTCAGCTCATCTATTTGAAAATACTGAACTGACCTGAATGGAAGTGTGTTGCAGCAAAGCCCATTTTCGAAATTAAATTGCATCTGTAATGAAAACTGTTTATCTGCTATTATGTTGGATACAGTATGTTGGATACATTTTCAGATATATTTCAAATATTTATATTCAGATTTTTCTCTCTTACTAAAATGAAAGAATTCAAATTAAAAAACTACTTGAGCATTAAGCAATTAAACTATAAACATTTTTAAATTAAGAGAATTATTAAAAGTAATAAAATGTAACATTTTAAAATAATACAAATAACAATCATTTTCATAAAACATATACAGTACATTCCTGATAATTCAAAGTGATAGGAGCAAAGACTACTTCAAATTACAAAAAACTTAGAATAGGACCAGAGCTGAGCTGTGATTCTGGATGCTAGCTGAAAGCTGAGCTGACCATCAAAATCCTGAATAGACTAGGTATTATTGCAAAACACACAAATATCATTTATTCTAATAAACATCCCAGCTGCAAGATAAAAAAAGTTGTAGACAGCATCCTCTAATAGTAAGTGCACTGTCTATTGGAGAAAGATAAGACTCATTTAAACTGAAAAATTGCACATTCTACTCTGACACTATACATTGCAATGATGTGCAAGTGCATTGAATGATATGTTGTTTTTCAAGTAATAGTTAAGTTAAAAAGTTATAAAACTTATTCTATTAATAACTGCTCTTGAATAATATTTGCATAGTATAACATAGTAGAAACAAGAAACACACATATATAACATATTAGAAAATTTTAAGAACATTTGAACTGTTATAATCTATGTTATGTTTGAATATTCGAATAATGTTTGAAATTTCCAACACTTTTGCAAGAAATTTGAGATTAAAAAATAGCCACAAGCTGATGTTTGAATTTTCAGAGTTTTTATTTTATTCTATTTTATTGCTTACTGCTGCCAGCTTTATTGCTAGCTACAGTGGCAAAATAATACACATTCAACATCCAGCACATCAACTCCATTCTTATTCTGGAAAACACTACAGAAATAAAATTAATATAAATTTAATAACAGAACTTGTCATTTCATAACTGTAAAGAAAACAACATAACACAAATGTTGAAATACAATGAACAGTGAAGATTGGTTGGTTAGTTAGATTTTTGGCACAAAGGCCTCCTGACCAAACTGTATCAACCTAGTGTTAGATGTATAACCAAATTAATAAATGATTAAAAAATATACAATATGTATAAAAACCAAAAAATAGGATAAACAGTAATATAACAAAAACATAGGTTAAGTCTAAAAAGCTAGGCAATAAACCTCAACAAAGATGTATAATACATTAAAGTTGCATAAACCACCTAATCATATCTAAAAATTGAAAAAGATACCTGCTAAAATCTTTCTCAAGAAAGGTCTTCATTTAATTAAAATGCTATGAAAGGGCATTGTTAAAAGTTAAAAGTTGAACAGTCAGTTAAGATGCGTTTGATTCTAAATATCACTTATGGTAGCTGCTATTTCGTTGCGAATGTGTTTGATTGTCCAGACAATATTGCAGTTTAGTATCGTGGCTGAGTCTCTCCTAACAATAGGTAATTAAGTGAAGAGGTTATTACTTATATATAATCATGTCAGAATGACTTCCTCTCTTCCATATCAATCTTTAATAAGAAAATATTTCCCTAAAAAAAAGGTCTGAAGTCAACACTGTACATGGAAGACCCTAATTCAAATTTTCCTGGGCTCCATGAAGCTAAAATGTGCCACTAAACTTTTGGCTTGTTTGAAGAACAAAGATATATAAAGTCAAAATAATTTTTATTTTTACAAAAGCATTGTGTTGATTTAATATTACTTTCCTGGCTGTTATATATAACAGAAAAAGTATGATGATTGGTTAAAAAATGACCCTGCAAGATTCTTACATTTTTGGATTCAGGGGAACCATGAAACATCAAGAAATGCAAAAAAAGTTAAGGTTTTTTTCTCTATGTACAGATGTTTGTGTATACGTGGGGAGAACATGACTTTGTTCATCCACTTTGAAACTTAATAATTCCTGTGCTTTTAGTTAAAAATTTCTGAAATTTTGCAGGGAAGTTTGGGTATTAGGGGCATTAATGCTATTAAATTTTGATAAAGGTTAAGGAGTGGTGAGATAGAGGGGAGTCCTCTGTCATATTTCAAGTGGAGTTGAACTTAATGAAGACTTCATTCATTATCTTCATTTACAATTTTTTATAAACCTCATTTCTACCCTCAAAATTAAGATTTTTGCCATTTTATAATAATTAATAATATAAAATGTTGTTAAACAAAATATGATAACAGAGTGGAAAGATAGATGGGGTCACTTTTCATATCTCGAATGGGATTGGACTTAATGAACATTTTACTCATTATTAGTATTTACAATTTTTTTTTTATAAACCACATCTCTACCCTCAAATGTAAGCTTTTTTTGCCATTTTATTAGAATAATAGTAAAAAAAAGAAAATTAAAATAAAGTTTCATAACAGATAGTGCCACACACAATTTAAAGTTTGGCCAGGAACGTTACGCAACTCGTAGCTGTAATTTTTTTAAGATGATGTATCTCTCGAAGTGTACTCGAAGCATTGGCATTGCTTTTATTAAAGAGCTTCACAACAAGGGCGCGTTCAAGTACGGTTTATGACCATCGCTGCTGATCTGCAGTAATACGAATAATATTTCACATACATACTGTTACATATCCTTCTAAATCATTGAATAACTTAATTACGATCACCCGGTATATTCAGAAATTTAAATAGAAATATCTGTTATAGCATAAAGTATTCATNTAGGGGAGACCAGGACAAGTTTGGCACATTAAGCATTACTTAAATTTTGTGTAATAAATACTGCTGTAAACTGAAAAAAAAGCTTTGTTTATTGTCTACTAGAATGTTACCTTAGTATAGAACTGGTAAAAATCAGTTTGGAAATAAAAACTATTAAAATAATTATATTGTTGCCGAAGTTGCCCCTGGTATAGGGGCAACTCCGGCAACAGTAATGGGGCAAGATAGGCAGGTATGTAAATTTATGTTATTAGCAATGTATAAGTTGGAATTCACTATTAAAACAAAGAAATACAAGTTTAAAATCTATTTAATATTATTACAATGAAATGCAAGTTCAAAGACATATATAAATAAAAAAAATGCAAACACAAATTAGTTACAAAAAAAATCAAACAGATAATAAATGAAAACATCCTAAACCAATGTAAAAGCAATATAAAAGCATATTGTTTATTCTCTTATTCTGTACACATATCACAAATAAATTGAACATACTCATTTTCTACATCAGTACAGTCCATATGAGCCCAGAGTTTACATTTACAGCATAACTTCCTGAGTAATGCCATATTTTTCATTGCAATATATACAATAAGTATTTTTACCATCATTTTCCGGTTCTTTGGGACTTTTTTGCCTCTTTCTTTTAGTTTACTTTGAATCCGGATTCTCTAAAACTGTTCCGTTCTGCAATTTCCAAATTTTTTATTTTTATCCTTGGCTTCTAATGTGGCTTTATGTTGCCAATCTTGCCCCACTAGTCATGATTTCGAAACATTAAGTACAACCCTGAGAACAGAGTCCCGAGCCATGATCTTGCAATGTGAATAAGTTGAAGTTTTATCCTTCTAACAGGAAAAGTAACTTTCATTATCATAGAATTATAACAAAACATGCCAATTCTATATAAATGGAAGCAAAATATTATATGGAATTGAACAAAAATGAAAATTTGCTTGATAATTCAACTACACTTGTTGGAGAACAATACAAACACTACACTCAACAAGCCACCAATAAAACTCAACTGCCTAACTTATAACCAGAGTCTCCTTTTATTTTATTTCTGAGAAAATTGGGTTGACGAACCTGCCCCGGTCTCCCCTATATTTAAGTCATAAATTTATGAGTATGATGGCTATGCTGAAAGTTTCCAGATATAAGAAAAGTATATATTATAACATACAACACTGAAGTTTGCTGCATTTAATAGATTAATTCTTGTACAATAGATGAGCTGATAAATCAAGTTGCTCTTGAAAACTCCTTTCATTCTGAAAAAACAGAAAATATATTTGGTACAACATATCAGTCATTTCTAATAGAGCTGACTCCAAAGCATTTCAGGCAATGATTTTAATAATCTTGTTTAAATGAGGTCTAATTATTCCAGCATTTCAAGACAGTTTCTTAAATTCTGCTTAGTATCAAGAATTTTGCAAAATATGCAAGTATTTTGATGGTTTCATGAATTGTTATGGCAGAATGTCTATCAAAGGGCAATGTCAAAAGTAGGCATCCCTCAATAGTAGTAACAGAAAGATTATATAAACTGTCAAGACTATGATAAGAGCAGATCCATGTTTAACACAAAGGCATAGACATCAGATCATAGTAATGCATGATTTCTTATACAAAAGGCTGTGTCATATTGATGTATTCCCTTTCAGATTAGCACGAGGCTAATGTAAACTGGAATTATATAATCCAAACATTTGAAAATGGACAATCAAAGCATGTTCAAGAAAATGAAAATAAGATATTTTAATGCATCTTTCCACAGAAAATAACTTTCACTATTTCATTCATCTATATTATTAAAGATTAAACAACATAAAAATTTAGAAATGTCTCTTACTTGCTATATCCTTTGTAAACTGTAGCATATGATCCTTCTCCTAATTGTTCTAATTTAATGTATGCTTCTGTTTTCCCAAAAGTTAAATTTCCCTATTAATAACATTTAAAAATTAATCAAAAAATATATTATTATATTCTTTAAAGAAAAATTGTTACTTAAATTTTTAAATAAAACATCTATCAAATTTATTGAAATATTTTAGTTTTTACAACTTATATTTTTAATGTAAATCTAGCTTTAATAAGAACTGATGTCCAATCATTGAAGTAAGATGCATGTAGTTACATAGAGTTTTCCATATAAAACTAGCTTTATTCACCAATTTATTAAGTTATTGTAATCTTCATATTGAAAAATGCAACAAATGCAACAAAATCTCTTTGTAAACTTTTGTAAATAGTCTAAACTTCAAATTATGAAGAAAATACATCCTGAGTTATCACAAAAATTTATTTTTTTAACAAAACATAAAATCTTGCATAACTAATGTTTTGCTGTTTAAGGTGATCTAGTTTTATTCAATCAGTGAGTGGGTGTCAGTTTTATGTGTGGGATATCTTGTAGCATTTTCTTTTATATATATATATAAAACATTAATAATTATTAATTGCTTAATACATTCAATTTAAAATTTCTCAATAGAATACCTGTTTTATAAATTTATATGCTTAATAAAATATTATATGATGTAATAAATTAATAATAATTTGATATTTTAAATCAAAATTTAATTTTTTAAAGTTGGGAAAATGGGTAAACTTGTTATTTATTCAAAATGGTACCAAGAAATACTACTAGATCAAGGAAACCAAACAGCTTCAATACATATAAAAATTGGTTTGGAAAGCTAATAAAATTTCTGGTTATATATATATATATATTTTAACAATTACATAATCATTTCTAGAATAAAAGTTCAAAAAGTAATTATTTTGTAATAAATTAATTTTCCAATTAACTAAATACATTTTGAAAACCTATTTCAAACAAAAATTAAGCATTTCAGTAAAAACTAAATTAATAATTTGATTGTACTATAAATATCAAATAATTTTATTACTTATATTCAATTATTATTATAGTTTATTATTTATTAAAAAAATTAAAGTATAAACCTTACTATGTGAAATATTATTCAGTAAAGAAAGTAATAAATAAATACATATATTTTAATAGTTTATGACAGAGTATTTGGTATATTATTGAGGAACAGTTTTGGTTCCTGAGAACTACATAGAACCAGTCAGATAATATGTTTATTTTCCTCCAATTTTATTTATTAACAATTAGTAATTCCTATTTTTATTATTAAAAAATAATATATTATTACTGTCTCAAAATACTTTATATGTGAGAAATATTACTATGTGTAAATATTAAAAAAAATTCTTAGTCAGTACACAAAGTTCTTATCTTTAGAACTGACATTTAAATATAATACAAAACTTTAATGTAAAATTCTGTAGCCAAAGATCAAACAGAATAAATTATTATTATTCCATCAATTATGTGAAAAATTATAGGTTGAATTTATTGTGCTTTGGAACTGTATTATTTTCATATTGTCTAAAAATGTTATCACAAACAGAATAAAAATTATTCATGAAGATTTTCTGTCATTTAATGCTTTTCATTCAATGGCAAATATTATTATATACATTACCTTGATTATATTAATTTAAACAGAGATACTAAATTATAAATACAAAGAAAAAACGTGAATTGACATGTGCCAGAAGTTTTATCCTCCTTTCTAAGAAACTTCTGTCAGATTTTTCCTGTTTAGAATAATAATTCATAGTGTAGATACATGTATAATTTTTAGTAAATTAAGAAATATTCATTTATATGAAATAATAATAAATACAGGTACTATACATACAATATAGCTGATAACATCAAAAATGGCTTAAGGCAACTATTGCATCATTTTAATTTAAGTAAAGAAAAACAAACAAATGAATAAATTTTAATTATTAATTTATAATTTTATTTTCATACAATCATTATTAAAATAATCATAAATTTATTAAACAGTCATTATATATTCCATTGTTTTTATTAAATAAAGCATTTGTGTTTCATATTTCGCAAACAATATTTCAAGCACATTCAATTTTATTTGACTTTTACAACTAATATGTTATTTATTTCAAAGTAATGTTTTTAAATTTAGAATTTTGTAATATTTGTTAAATAAACTTATTTCGAAACTATTTTAAGAAGCTAATCTTAACAATTATACTTTAGGAAATGTCAAAAATTTGGGAACATATAAAAAAATTATAGAATGACTTATTAATAATATATTTTTATTATTAAAAAGTAATTCCCAAAATAATAAAATGTAACATATATAAAGAAAGCAGATGAGACAGAAAAATGTATTTTGGTCCTAGATGAGATCTAACATATTCTTTGGATTCAAGCCAAACATTCTAATCAATTCAGTTACTACAATATTTACTTTGTCTTTATGATTCTTCAAAGTTAAAATTCTATTAAAACAATAGGAAAAGTATAACATTAGATGTAATTATGACTCTTTAGTCAATTTCTTAGAAGTTTTAAAATTATACTTTATTAAAGTTTAATAAAATTAATAGAAATAATTTGACACATCACAAGTATTTTTGAACATCCATTCATTTTCAGAAGACAACTTAAAATATTCATAATTTAAATATTCAAATATTGTTAAACAACTACTCTCAAGTATAAACAATCTATCTAGATAAGACTTGTTGCTTTTCTTCCTATTACCAACAATCTTCTTTTCATAATCCATTTCCATGAAACAGACAGTGATGCTTCCTCATCCTCATTTATCATCACAGTTTCACAATTCTCCTGAGAAATCCCTATTTTTTTTCTTTGGTCAGTCATAAAGCAGTTTTCTCCTTGTCTCATACCAATTCTATCCATGATTTTCTTAACATTTAACAAAGGTGTTAAGAAAATCTGTTCATCAATCATTTTAGAAAGCTTTCTATTAGTAAAATCAAAATAAATTTCCCTGCCATTATTAAATATTAATTAAAATAAGATTGGAGTATATATTGCTGTTTAACATTCCAGCAATTTCTTTATCACTCCTGATCACCTGAAAAACTATAATTTTTTTTCTTTAAAAGCAAATTTTCTTTAAATTTGTGATTAAAATTGTGATTAAACTTTGTTACTAAAAGTTTTATTATTATAATGAATTGTAATTATTTCATAATTTTCAATTTTTCTTCTAATATTCAGAAGATATGTTTCACTCTATTTTCTATTGAAAGCAGTTCTAATTTATGTAAACAATCTACTTAGTTCTTAAGTTTTAAATAACTCAATTTCAGTATTAAACCAATTAGAACAAATATTCATTGTCCTCAAAATTACAAATTAATGTGCAAAGTGGTATAAAACTATCACAGTGCTTTCTATGATTTTGAAAATGAGCAGAAATATTAAAATAGTATTTAGATTTCATAATATTTTTATTTTGCTATTTACTCATCATTAAAACAAGTATGTGAGGCACAATACTAAAGGATACTGTTTGAATCATATCTAATGTAAAAACAACATTTTCCTATTCAAGTTTTTATTTCTCTGTTTAACAAATGAATATATAGTTTATGTTAGAGTTTATACAATCAGGTGTTACTTGCCTAATGAATTCAGCCTTTTGGTAAATATACAAATACTGCTAAAATTATAAAAAAAAATTTTCCAGAACATTTTTGAACCAAATGGAAACATGTGTAAGGTTTTCCTGTCTAATTAATTGACAGGATACAATATCAGGGACCAAAAATTGAAATTTTATAATAACTAAGATCCCAGAAATTTTTTTATCAAATATCCTGATATATCAAGGACAATTATAGACATATGTAGAAAGTATTATTGTGGCAATAAAATGTTTGTTTAATTCTGCTGAATCATCATATGATTTCATCTAATTAAATTGATTTAAAAACTGCTCTTTATTTGAATTATATTAATGATTTAAAAATGAAAAAATCTCTTGAAAAATGTTTAATCACAAATAAATTTGAGGTTTTTAAAACTTCATATCTAGTTAATATTGTGATGTCAAATAATTAATGCTAAATTCATAAAGTATATTTTTCTGAAATGTTATAAATAATATTTACTTAAATAAAAATATCAAATTTTAATAGATTTAACTTAGTTTAGTAAGTCATTTTTGTTACAAAAAACAAAATTCTGTAATAGCAGCAAAAAAAAAAAATTTTTTTATTGGCGGCAAAAAAAAAAAAAAAATACAGCATAACTAGTGTAAGAAAAATTTGCTGCATTTCAAGAACTCAATTTATCTTGGATTGATATCTTGATATATTTTAAAATTCATTCCAATAAAATACATATGACATTATAATAGATTTGTAGTCATTCCTCCCTCTCAAGTTTATAATTGGGCTGCAATTTTTAAAATGCAGACCTAGGAAAGCATGAATCTCTCACCGAAAGTTTCTTGTTCGTTTTAGGATGAAAATCCAATAACAAATAACCAAATTCCTTTTCTGTTGCTTTTTTATATGCATCCATAAAAAAATTACATTTTCCTGTGAAAGCTTGCCACCCCAAACACAGATTCCCACTATTGTCCATCTGTGCCTGTCCTTCCTTAATCTTGGGAACAGAGTGAGTGAGAAGAAAATCAAGGCCAGACATAGAAAGCTTAGAGACCAGAGGTCCCACTTAAGTATGTTTGAACTTCCAATTTGGACCAAAAGGCATATGATTTCTTAAATTAAAACAATGATTAAAAATTGAAGCTCAGCATTGTCATGATATCACAATAAGTAAACAATTATCTTATGATTAGTCTTATAATAGACAGAAAAAATAATATATATCTTATTAATACTGTAATGACCATGCAAAAAATTTTTTTCTATATTTCACAATATACAACATGAAGATAAAACATAAATCATCTTTAAGATGACTGACAAAATATTGTTAAACACACATGCATGTAAAACACTCAATGCTGACCTTTCTTTGTAGGATTCAACATCAGTTACTTTAATTAATTAACCAGCAGTAAAAAGTTTTTCGATACCAGCCAAGT